TTCAGGAGACATGTCTATAAGTTTACATTAAACCCATACACCAGCTTCAGTTGTTTTGTCTACCTGTGTACAGTAAAACCTACATGTATTCAGGAGATATGTCTATAAGCCTACAGTAAAGCTATACATCCGTTTTAGTTGTTTTATCTGAGTACAGTAAAAAAACAACAACAAACAAACTACATATCAGCATTCAGGGGGTTGTATCTTTATGCTCTAAATATTCAGTATTCAAATGACATAACTATATGCATGTAGTACAAACTTTATATTAGCATTCATTTGATAGGTAGATGCGGTTGCAGCACAGCCTACGTGTTATTAATCATTTACATGTTACGTCTGGTTAAAAAGTACCTGTTACACACAAGAACGTTCAGTCTCCAGATCATGTCAGAGGCATGTCACGTCCATTTATAACCTACCTATTATACACGAGAGCGTCTGGCATACAGATCTTCTCAGGGCCATGTCTTGTTTATTTAGAGCCTACCTATTATACATGAGAAGGTTCAGTCTCTAGATCTTATCAGAGGCATGTCACGTCCATTTAGAACGTACCTGCTATACATGAGAACGTTCAGTCTCTAGATCTTATCAGAGGCATGTCACGTCCATTTAGAACTTACCTGTTATACATTAGAACGTTCAGTCTCTAGATCTTATCAGAGGCATGTCACGTCCATTTAGAACGTACCTGCTATACATGAGAACGTTCAGTCTCTAGATCTTATCAGAGGCATGTCACGTCCATTTAGAACTTACCTGTTATACATTAGAACGTTCAGTCTCTAGATCTTATCAGAGGCATGTCACGTTCATTTAGAATTTACCTGTTATACATGAGAACGTCTGGTCTCCAGATTTTGTTAGGGGCCAACCGAATATCCTTGATGTTGTTGTAATCTACCGGATTCCACCGAAGATTAACGTCCACCCATTCCTAATAGATCATGCATTTTGGATTTGTGTACATTTTGGTTTTAGAAAGAAGTACATACAAGAAAATTATTAGATTAAAAATAATGTGGTTTCATTTTAGTTTCTTTGATATTTGTTCACACAATTTAGCATTGAAAATAGACAAATAATTTGAAATAAACACATATAATTACAAAAAAATGCTAAGAAAATTCTAAGATATGAAAGTAATATGTTTGATTAAGAATATTTTATTTTACGTAAGCTATAGTTTTTATTTTTATGCACTAACCACGACAACATTAATTTAGCAGAGGTAAATGTTCTCAAAATGTAATATTCAAAGACAGTTCGATAATTACTAATTGATATAAAATGATTTCAACGTTTAAAAAATTTAATATCACTTTGAATGTTACATGTTATGTCGTTTTCCTGCTTGCACATTGATAGAAATATATTGATGTATTTATACGTTGTGCAGAATGAACACTTGAAGTGTTTTTATTGCTTAAATAATTTAATCTTTATAATAATTTATATTCGGGAGGATGTATTTGATGTTTCTAAGATTTTTGGAAACTTCAATTTGTAAAAAAAAACACAAAATAAAACTGAACGATGTTCGATAGTGAGCTAAAAGTATTTGTCAACCCGCCACCTATCGGCAACTATTTAGCTAAACACTGCTTTTGTTTCAAATAATTAATCATTGGTGTCAACGAAATATTTTATGTATTTTTGACTTAAAAGCATTGTCTTATAAAATTATGTAAAAGTGAATTAATTTCGTTACGATTTATACTGGACCAAATAGTATCTTAGTAAGCGAATCGTCCCCCAGTGGCTCAGTGGTAAGTTTAAAGACGTATAACGCTAAAAACAGGATTTCGAAACCAATGGTGGGCACAGCACAGATAATCCATTGTGTAGCTTTGGGCTTAACAATAAGCAAACAAACAAACTAAGCGAATCAGAAGTTAAGATTTTGTGGTTAATTTTCACCGAATAAAATACTGGCTTATGAAATGTATTAGAATCTCATTAATAATTATTTTCGTAATTTTTGCTGAAAATTATTGTTTCATAAAACATTTGAAAGTTAATGAATGTCTTCTGTAATTTTACTTCCAAAATTTCTATGGTGTAAGATGTCTCAACAATTAAAGTACTTTACTGGCTCGAACAGTTTCCTTTTTTAAAAAACTGTGTTAATGCTCAGTACCACATTATTGCACTAAACAATTAAAGTATTTTACAGGCCCTAACAGTTTCCTTTATTTAGAAACCGTGTTAATGCTCAGTCCCACATTGTTGCACTAGACAATTAAAGTATTTTACAGGGTTCTAACAGTTTCCTTTATTTAGAAACTGGGTTAATGCTCAGTACCACATTGTTGCACTAGAC